ATCGTAGGCTAGTGCAACATTCAAGATATCTTCTCCAGTCTCGTTTCTTGTCCCATAGCCAAAACCTCCATGAATTCTATCAAAACCTCCATTGCTTTTACCAACATGACCATTTAGATCTCCTCCTACAAAAATCTTCTCCTCTCGTGGTATCCCCCTTAAAACCTCCTCTAAGTCTTCCCAAAATTAGCTCTTATCATTTGGTTGAAATTCAACTTGGGGTGCATACACACTGAGGATATTCAAGATTAAATCACCCATTACCAACTTAACTAGAATAATCCTGTCGCCTTTCCTTTTGACGTCAATAACTTTATCTCTAAAACTTTTATCGATCAAAATTCCAACTTTATCTGACATACCTTACTATTTTCTTCGTATGTAAAATTTAAAAGTATTTAATGCATTTTGCCTTTACGAATATAAATAAGTTAAATTATGTTTAAATATTTGAACTTAACTTGTTAAATACTTAATAAGTTTTTTTTAATAAAAAACAAGTTTATTGTGGGCCTAATTATAATAGGAGATTTAGAATACGAGATGATTTAGTAAATGTTATCATAGGTTGGATTTTGACTTGAGATGGATCTGTCTTAATTTATTAAGGGTAGTGATGAACCCGGAATTTTTTTATGATGGGAGTTGAAAATAAAATATCAAAATTATAAGTATTATTAAGAATAATATGATGGCTTAATTATTGTAAGTATTTTTTAAGGAGGAATTAACTATTAGAACAAATAATTTATTATTATTATTATATAAATATTATTTTATAATATAATAATAAAACAATCAAATATTAGGAAGGGGTCACCGCCAAAGCTTGATCTAATAATTAAAGGCATAAATTTTTTTAATCTGAATAGTAATCTCAGGGAATTCTCACATATACATCACTCGATGATTTTACAAATGGTTACAATATTTATTTATAGACTCATATTAAAACCTTAATTGGTAAAATCTTTTACAATTAAAAACCGCATATTTCTCAAAAAAAAGTATAGATTTTTCTGAAGATTTGAAGGGCTGGGAAACCTTGAGATTTCTGCCGGAGAAAACTCAATTCTTGTTGTAATGAGAGATTCTGTTTAAGGGTCGGAGTTGGCCGATTTTAGACTCTTTCATTTTATTTATTTATTTATTTTTTTTTTCTTTTTCAGTCCGCCCCTGATTAAGGGTCTTGTAGCTATGTTTCGGTCTGATATATTGAGCCACTACTTAATTAGTCCAATATCTATGATTCCACATTTCCACATATTGGAAAATCTTGACAGAATCGTCTAGGGACAACCATTTATGGTGTCCCATAGTACGTGAAGATCCGGAGGAATAAATTCACATCAATCATGTATCAATATTGAACACTTGTCTCTTTAACCTTCGTCATCATCATTTTTTATTTGAGATTAACATCAATAATTACTGTTTTTTTTCATCTTGTTCATATTCTATAACTATGTTTTATGAATTATATTGATTTATAGGTTGGATTTGTTTTAAATCCTAAGTTTTTTTTTTCTCAACAAACATAATATATATTTATATATATATATATATATATAATAATTATCTCATCTTGCATGAGATAATAGAAATAATTATCTCATGTTGCATGAGATAATTATCTCATGTTGCATGAGATAATTATCTCATGCAACAGAAACAAAATAATGAGGTTCACTATTTTTTATTAAAGATAATAGTATATCCCACTATTTTGTCTCTATATATATTGACAAAAAATAGTTAATTTTTGTCAAAAAAAATATAAATAATAATAATTTATAAATATTTTTCATATCCAAATATTTTATTATTATTTTCCTTACTTTTACTTCATATTTTAATATAAAAATTTTAAATTAAATATTAAATTAATAAACATGAAAATACTTCATGAATAAATTGATAAAAAAAATAACCAATGTTATAAACAAGATATATAATTAGAATTCAAACTTTTTTTTTTAAATAAGTCAAGTTTAAATTTTAATTAAGGTTCTCTACCTATTTCTTGTTCGGATTGATACATTGAGTCCACCACCTTACTTAATATTTTATGGTCTCACATTATTAGAATTATTTTTCGGAAAGTCTTTTCAAGGAATAACTTGATGTGATTCTTTCACAGTATTTTGAGGATGTTCAAGGAGATCACCATCATCCCATAATCATAGCTATTGATTATTTCTTCCACATGATTATAATTGCAGGGTCTCCAGCTTCAGGTACACATACAATCTTAATTCTATATTCCATTCTATAATTATGTTTTTCATGTGAGGCAGATGTTAGTAATTATTCTTCTTCATCATCTGTTCATATTCTATACTTGTGTCCTATATATTATACCGATTTATAAGTTCAGTTTGTTTTAAATCTTCAGATATTTTTCTTAAGCAGATAGAATATATATATAGAAATGAAATATAGAAAATAATAATTTATATTTTTTTTTTCATACTCAAAGATTTTTCTCCATTAAGGTTAGGTAACTCCAAAAAAGAAGAAGAAGATTTTTCTCCTTATTTTTACTTCATATTTTAATATAATTTTTTTATTAACTATTAAATTAATAAAGGAGAAGGATATTGTGACAACCAAATTGTGTTACTACCAATCAATCTCACCGTTAGATCGATTATGTTGATCCAACGGCTATATTTATTTCCATCTTTGTATGGTCATGATTCCTCATATTTAAAGTGAAAGCATTAAATATGAGAAATCATAACCATACAAAGGTGAAAATAAATATAAAGTATTAAATTTAGGAAATCATGACCATACAAAGATGGAAATAAATATAACCGTTGGTCAATATAATCGATCTAACGGTAAGATTGATTGGTAGTCACTTGGTAGTAACACAACTTGATTGTCACAATATCTTTTCCCATTAATAAACAAAAAAAAGTATTTCATGACGATAATTGAAAAGATAAAAAAAATAATCAAAGCTATATATTTATAGTTCAAACTTTTTATTGTTAAATAAGTCAAGTTTAAAATTTAAATTTGACTCGTTTAAATAAATCAGTTAAACTTGAATTTTATTTATTTTTCATAAATCAAGCCTAATTTTAAGTATTCAACTTAGTTCTACTATTGCACATTTTTGTACTGGAGTAATTTTAAAAATAAGAAATACAAATAGTTCAACATAAATGGAGTATAATCTCCACATATATTATATTTATTACTGAAAAGTTTTACAACTCTTACTACTAAATTATTTACCGTTGATATGATTATAATTTATTAGGTATACTTATTAATTAATTATTAATTTTTCATAAATTATAACTATTAAATTGATGGAACGGTGATTAATTTAATAATAAGAGTTGTAAAACTTTTCAATCATAAATATAACCATCCCCTAGTTTATAACTTCAAATTTGTGTGCCGAAATTACTTTTGTTAAAAAAAGTGTAAAAGAGATTGACTATAATCTTTCCCATTAAAATATAGGTCGATTTTTACCCTTTTTAATAATATTTGTTAAATTTATGGTATAAAATTAGGGCAAATATTCTCTTATGTTGACTTATGTCTATAGAGACATTTATATGATGGAACCTATTACTATTACAAATAAAACAAAATAAAAAAACTTAAAAAAAATATTAATATGACAACAGGAGATAATTTTTCTATAATAACAGGAAAAGATCATCGTTTATCAAAAAAAAAAAAACAGGAGAAAATCATCTCCATGAAATTATGTGCCACTCCCACTTATAAATTATAATAATAATCCAAAGAAAGCTACATGCGGAGGAGAAATACGAGTCAGTAAAAATAAAAATATCAAATAATCTTAAAAAAGTATCACACATTCCCACCACAAATAATGATGACGATAATGACATAAAATCATGCTTTTTCTTTTACTCATCAAAACAATCTCCTTCACCAATAATGACATTCATGATCACACCACAAAAAAAATTAGCTTTTCCTTTTTGGCAAAACAATTAAAGGGGTATGATATTATAACAATCAACTAGTGATATTATTAATGTTACTATCAATCAATTTCACCGTTGAATCGATTATGTTGATCTAACGGTTACATTTATTTTCATCTTTATATAGTTATGATTCCCCATATTTGTTGTGAAAGAATTAAATAAGGAAAATCATAACCATAAAAAGATGAAAATAAATATAAAATATTAAATATTAAGAATTATAACCATACAAAAATGAAAATAAATATAACCGTTAGATCAACATAATCGATCTAACGGTGAAATTGATTGCTAGTAACACTAGTTAGTTGTTACAGTATCCTTTTCCACCGTTAAAAATAGAAAAAAATTTATTTCATTCTAAAAACATAATTTTATATCATTTTAAATAAAATAATATTGATTTGGTATATATTTAATAACTTTTTATATTTTCTCTTCTTTATAAAATTAGAAAAAGAGAAAAAATATATAAAAATTATTAATTACGTACCAAAATAATTTTATTTTGTTATCAAAAAAAATAATAATAATTTTATTTCGTTTAAAATAATATAAAATTATATTCTTTAAAAAACATTCCTCCATTCAAAATTTCATTATTATTATCTTTTGCAAATATTTCAATTGATTCGTCATTTCGCGAGTAATTTCATTCCGGACAAGTCCTAAAATTAAGATTTTTTTTTTTTTTGTTCTTCTACCGGCATTTGAACCTGGACAACAAGGAAATTGTTCTACAACAATTGTTCTAAAATTAAGATATTAAACTTCTATCTACGAACAAAAAAGTAAGACTTTAAATTCCGCGTCACTATCATCATTTGTTAAATTTCGTTATCTTTAGTTGTATTGTTTTTAACAGTTTTCCCACTCAGTTAGTTCCTACATAGGAAGCTACAACAAAAGGCCAAAAACACCTCCATCACCGTGCTTTGGTGCTTTTACAGTGCCATATGAGGTGAACAAAACAAAGCTAGAATCTTTAAAAGGGTTGGCACCCTCTCATTCTTCCTAACCCCATCTTTTCTGTCTAATAGCTGCTATTGGTGAATATCAGTTTTATATTTTTGTGGGTAGTAGCTTATTGGTGTAGTTTAACTTTAAAGGATTAAGGTTTCAAAACCCAGTTGCATATTTTCCCTTGAAATCTCTTAGCTAGTTAGCTTCTAAATTTTTTTGCAGTTTAGAATTGTCAGAAAGCTAAACAAGAAGATGGGTATTGGGAATCAGGAGGCAATCAATCAGTTGCAGTCCCTAATGGAAAATGGTGTGTTCATCAAATGTTTGAAACTCAGCTTGCATTATTCTGTTCTTCTATGATCTATGCTGATCACTGACAAAGTTTCCCTTTTTTCTTTTCTTTCTCTGTCTCTTGTTGCAGTGGATGAGCAACAGAAGAACACATTCAAGGTTTGGCTTTTAATATTCTTTGTTTTGCTTGCTTGATCTTGGGTGTTGAGAAATATATAAGGAAGAAGAATCAATAGAAGTTATAATTGATGATCTACTACTACTACCTGATTTGGTTAAAAGCAATTTTTTTTTAATTTTTTTTTCAAGCTCAGATTAGAAAAAGTCAAATAATTTATCCCAAAAATTATTTTTTGCTGCCTAATTGACCTGGATCACTGGTACCTTGCAGCTGCTAAGAAATTTTCTGTGGCTAGGTGATTGTAAAGGGTGTCTGAAGGATTAATATTGAAATTCCTTGGAATGCAATCGGTCTTTTCATGATTTAAAACAGTCTTCAAGAAGATCATACTGAATTTAGTGATTCGGCACCAATATAAGGGTCTTTTAATGTTTTCTCCTCTAAATATTTATTAAATCTCTACATTTTTTGTGCTATTAGCCTATCATGGTTGTTTGATTTTGGTTTAATTAGTTAAGAGTAAATAGTTTTTGATTGTTTCTCATTATCTGCAATCATGAGTATTTTCTTTTTTGCCTGAAAGCTTTCTCTTTATATATCAGAATATGCACCAGGGTTATCCTGCTGAAACATTAGTACGGTTTCTCAAAGCAAGGGACTGGAATGTTGCCAAAGCCCATAAAATGGTTAGTTTGATCTATTATGTTTAGTAAAATCTTTTAGTTGGAATTTGAGCCAAATTGATTGCTCTTTGCATTATTCTCGAGTCTTGATCTTTGGATGTGTATACTTTATTGACAAATTAAACTGTTACAGCTTGTTGATTGTTTACAATGGAGAGTGGAAAATGAGATAGACAAAGTTTTATCGGTGAGTTCCTTTGTTATGCAAAATGCAATTATTTTCTGAATTTTACTGTTTTTATGGTTATCCTTTTATGAAACTTGTTTGCTGAATTCTGTCATTCTGCCATCTCATGTTTCTGAAAAATCTTGCATATAAGATTTATGGAAGTCACAATGTCTCACAAAAACCTCATCTACTATTTATGTTGGGTTTGGTCATTTAAAGCTAGTCGTAATATAAATAATGGGAGCGTTACAATATTTAGATGACCAATATAGATGAAGAGCTCAATTTAATAATTTTCTTTTTTGAAGAGAAATGGTTGAAGATATCTGATAATTCCGGCACATACGTAAGAATGTGTGTTATTTATTTATTTTCAAGATACATGTCAACTATGTGCATCAATTTATGCTTGCGGTAAAGAAAAAGGCCAAACCTTCAGAGTTGTCACACAATCCCTTCCTCCAAAATTAGGTCTCTTTGTATATGTGTGAATAGTCTAATATTGACAGTACTAGAGTAGAGCCTTTAGCTTGTTCTAAGAGACAATTTGTATAGTCAAGTGTATATATAGCCTTCAATTTTGGTACCAAACGTTTTACAATTGTATTAGCACCATGCCTTTAAGTGCAATTATGTTGTTGATTGTTGATTTTGGAACAGCAAATCTTAGATTTCATTGAAGGAGTTATTATACATCTAAATATATTTTGATTCCTTTCTGTCATGGATGAATACCTTGAACTGGGGACTGTTACTTCATCTGTTATTTAAACGAATCAACTTTGAATCTCATCAATAAAATTATTTTATTATTTCACAATGCTTATTCTTTTGGACAAAGTGATGCATGTTAGTTCCAAAACTATAGAAACCTAATATTCATACTCTTATTGGTCACTGGTTACTGGAATGATTTGACATTCTTTCTTATTCTTATTCATATCTATTCATCACACTTTTGTCATAAACTAGATGTTTATTATAATTTTTAATAAGATCATGATTGTGCTGCATTTTTTTTAATTTTCTCTTTTTTATAATAACAGAAGCCAATCCCTGCGGATTTGTACAGAGAAGTGCGAGATTCTCAACTCATAGGAATGTCTGGTTACTCAAAGGAGGTAATTCTTTTGATCTCAGAGATAAACTTTTTATATTCATCCTCGCTCACATTTCTTCCCTTCCCTACTTTACATGGATGATGTTATTATAATAAGAGATAAGAAATGACATCTTTATAGATCATCTGAAATGCTTCTATCGATAAATGATTTCTAATTTCATTCATTTTTGGCTGAATCATGCCAGGGTCTACCAGTCATTGGTATTGGTGTTGGGCTCAGTACACTTGACAAAGCATCTGTGAGTATTTCATATCATCTCTTTTCATCCTACCTTTACAATATGATACATAAACTGCACCCCAATTCATTGAAGATTGCTTACTGGACTGAAAATCCTTTTTTTTTTTACTAGGGACTTTACAATTTCTTAGAAACTTTAGCGCATTACAAAGTTTCTGCATTATACATTTATAATTGTATGCCTCTACATGAATTGATGCCTGCTTGTCTGTCTATATGCCCCAATGTAGCATGTAAACTCCTGTGGATTATCTATTTGATATTAAATTGCCAATTTTCTTGTGTTCAGGACAAATACTATATACAGTCACACATCCAAATGAATGAATATAGAGATCGCGTGATGTTGGTGAGTACCTTATATTGTTTAATTATTCTTATAAATTCTCTGATGCCCTGCTTGCTTATTTGAAAATTTTGTTTTAGCCAACAGCTACAAAGAAGCATGGACGATACATTGGCACCTGTGTGAAAGTATTGGATATGACTGGTTTAAAATTTTCAGCACTGAACCAATTGAGGGTAGGCCAGTAATTTAGGAAAAATGTTTTTCTTTTTTTCCTTCTTTTTCTTCATAGTTTAATCATATGAAAGTCCCTTGTCTTGGACTTCATTGTCATCAATGTTAATTGTCATTGCAATTAAGATTTCTCAGTTCTCACCCCTTCCATATGCTTGATTCTCTTATAGTTGACAATTTCTGTTTGACCACCTTCTGCAGATTTTGACTGCTATATCTACAATAGATGACTTAAACTACCCGGAAAAGACAGACACATACTATATTGTTAATGTACCATATGTATTTTCAGCATGTTGGAAGGTTTGTGCATGTCTTAATGTTTGAAGAGTTTGGACTGCTTCATTTCCCTTCCTTAACTTCATAAACATTATTCTAAATCCATATATTAACAGCTTAAAGCTTTTTATTTCAAATCATTTGAAGGTTGTAAAGCCTCTTTTGCAAGAAAGAACAAGGCGGAGAGTTCAGGTGCTGAAAGGATGCGGGAAGGAGGAATTACTGAAGGTGAACATTAACATTATCTTCAAGTATCTACTTGAGTTCTCTTAGTACTATCGTCTATACCATATGTATATGTGTTTGCCTCTTGATTCTCTTGACTAATTAAAGTAATATTGATGAAATAGTTATATTTTGCTTCAGTTCTAGTTCTATCTTAATCCTTACACATTTAGTGTTGTTACCCTTGTGGTATTAACGGCATCATTATGCTTGTGGATTTTGTTTGCTAGTTTCCCATTCAATGCTGTGAAATTCCCATTCTAATGAAGATGCAATTATTTAATTTTATCCTGTCATTTTTAGTCATAAGAACAAGATTTTGTGAATTTCTAAGTCCTAAGTAAAATTTGATTTCTTGTCATTAAGAATCTTCTCTCTCTATCTATCTATATATATATATATATATATATCATGGTACTAATTAAATTTGATATTTAGACTTGGAAATGAGCATTAACAAATCAAATTTATTCTATTCTTCTTAGACTGGTTGCAATTACAAGAAGTTTGACATACTTAACAGTTCTTTAAAAACTTGTGCACAGGTAATGGACTACGCATCCCTCCCACACTTTTGCAGAAAAGAAGATTCCAGGTCATCGCGACATCATGCAGCTGTAAATACTGAAAATAGTTTCTCCTTCAATCATGTCTTCCATCAACAACTCTATAACTACATCAAGCAGCAAGCTACCATTATGGAGTCAAAATCACCAATCAGACAAGGGTCCTTCTATGTAGACATACCAGAGCCAGACCCAGATGATGCTAAATTAGCCAAGACCATAGAAACCGAGTTCCACAAATTGGAAATTCAGAATGGTTTTACCAACTCACCAAATGGTGTTGCAGCTAATGGGCATTGAAAACTAGTTACAATGTTTTCTGGCCTCCTTCAGACTTACTGAGCCACTTTTTTTTACTGATTAATTGTCATCCCTTTTGGATAAGGAGGGTTATACTAGTTCTTTCTTACTGTTATACTCAGTTATTAGATGTAATATTGGAATGATTGCATCAACTCATGCAATTTCATTCTGACAGAAATTTTAATATAATATCTATAACCACCTTGGGATGATGAGCATATGATATTTTGTTCAATGTAGAAAATATGGCTTCATGTTACAATTGTAAATGTCTCGGTACATTGTTACTTGTCATCATTATTTGACCACTATAGTTTCACTTAAATGTAGAGAATTTTGGGGCTATGGTTTCATGTTTACCAGAAAAAATAAACCGCAATGCTTTTCTCATGTTACATGAGATAACATTATCTTGTGTAGAGACATAATTAGGTGGATCTCAACTTAAAAAAAGAAAAAAGAAAAAGAAATGTTGACTCAGATTTTGATGGGTGTGTAACATGATATAAGCTTTCTCATGTAACATGAGAAATTATTTTTCCAAAAATAAATGAATGCATGGAACTAGCTTCAAAAATCTTGTGAAGGTTTACAAGAAGAGTTGAGAGAAGATAACTATCATTGATAGGATTCAGTACGACAAAGCAGAATTGGCCTAAAAAGATTCATCATCAATTGACTCACTTTTAATATAAATTTTCTCTTAAATTTCTTTTAAGGTTGTTTTCCTTTTCATACCTATGATCAGTTCATGACTCTATTACATTACTGGCAAAGCCGTTTTATACTTAAGTTGTGTGCCTATGTTGGCCTACTAGTACTACTACTACCCTTTCGGTTAATGAATGTTTGCTTCATTTTCTTTTCTTCATTTAAAGTTCAATGTTAATTTTAATAAGAGTCATAATCAAAGTAAGTACCGATAGTTTAAAATGGTAGTCATATTGATATCCAATATATATTGTATTCGACATATTTTAATACTTTTAGATTACTTCTGATTTATTTCTTTTAATTATTTTTTTGAACTATTATACCAATACTAGCGATAAATCACAATAATAGTAATACTTTATTATACAATGATTAAAGATAATTTAAAAAATATTAATGTCTTTATTCTAGTTTAAGATTTGTGCTTTTAGATAAATATTATATTAATTTTATATGTTTATCTTAATCATAGCAAGTCTTATAATTTTCAAAAAGTATTATATTCACTTTTTTGTAGTGTCATATTTATGTCTCATCTATATATGTTTTTCCATAAGTTATAACTCAAAAATATGGTAAAATACTTATTTTTGAGAAACAAGTTGGAGACGCAATATCAAAATTTATTTAGAGTTGAACAATGATTGACTATACCAATTATATCAAAATCTATTAACTCAATGAATGGATTTGCATATGTTTTCTTTTAATTTAATACTTATATTTTTTAATTGGCTAATCCAACATGTGGCAAAGTAAGAAATATGTATAATTTGCAATGTATCGAACACCAAAGCCTTATGCTTTACATCAAATTAATAAATGTTACAAATCAATTCCACCTAAATAAACTATTAGTATCTAATTTGAGTATATGTACAGATGAAGCTAACTGGTAAACTCTAAGTGTCTCAGCCAATATTTTATGCTCCAGAAGCAGTCAAGCACACACATCCGAATTAATGATTGAGCTCCTACTCATTCCCAGCATATCTGGGAATATCTAGTAAGTATTGATCTAAAAGAAAGTGAATCAACCGTAAGGGTTTATTCCAGCTTAATCAGTGGTTTTGAGTTTCAGTTCGAATCCCTAGGACCGCAACTGTGTTAAAACTTGATAGAGAGAGCTTTGCTGCCCATGTGGTTCTACCCGGCTCAAATTGAACTAATCAAGTAATCGATGAACCGATGAATAATGTAAAAATATATATCTATTGATCTAAAGAAAGAACTGCACTAATGAAGATATAGCATAGCCTAAACTATCTAAGCCACTGCTAAATAACACTACCAAGTACCTATCAATTTAATTGTTGATTCATCTCATCTCAGCTGTTTATAGCAGCTATAGGCTATGGCAACTGACACAGCAGCACAAACAACAGCAAGAGCAGCATAAGTATCTTCTTGTTCCCAGCTTTCAAGCCATGTTGCCATGGAACCAAACTTGTCTGATGCTCCTTTGCCACTATTGATCCGAGATATCACATTCTCATTGCTCTTAATATCAGATAAGAGTTCTCTCATTTCCTCTAACAAATGGTTGTTCTGACTGCAACAAGAGTCTTCATTTTCTCGGCAACATCTCTCTCCATTTCCTTGGCAGCACCTCTCAAAGTTGTCTTGAGATCTCAACACTGCAGTTCTTATTCCATGATCCTTCATCTGCATCAGTGCTTCTGTGCTTCCTTCTAAGTTTCTTACGCAGTTCGTCCTTTGTTCTCAGTTTTTCTTCTGTTCATCTTCTGATAAAACCATTTGACCCCTGATCGCAAAAATTAAAACATGTTGCAACAAAATAAATATCAGTTATTTTCTAGGGACTGTCATAAATTTTTTTCATAACCTAGCAGCTAGCTACATACTATTATATTTTACTTCATGTATTAGATTTAAGCATGCCAAAATTAGACTTGAGCAGAGAAGGAATGTTCACATGAAATATCAATTCATGACTAGTAAGTTGATAATGATGTTATAGGAGAACTTAGTTTTCCTGAACATTCTATGGAGGAGAGAGAAAGATTGCCTGAGGAGTTATTCATCATATATACATCCTTAAGGTCTTAAATTTATAGAGCTAAATCTTTGGCTGGGAGAATGAGTTTTATGCTTTTAATCTTGTAACTTGAAAGTTTAAATAGTCAAAAACCGAAATGGAAGGTGTTAGTTAAAGTTGTATAAAGCAAAATTCACATGACCAACAGAAAAAGGTAGAACATATGCCTTGCTGGTTGACCACAATTTCAATTTGAAAATATGGAAACCAAAGTTCACATGAGGAGGCTATATTTCAAATAGCAGAATAAATAATGAAAGCAAAATATTAAACCATTGACAAAAAGGGAATTCATGTTCTAGGTGTGTAAGAATCTCAAAAAACTGATTCCTTAGAACTCAGAAGCCTTTGAAATTTGCCAGTTCACTCATTTTAACCTTCCATTTCTTTCTAACCCCACTCACCTACCCTCTGCTCCAAAAAGCCAGGAAACTAAAAGAAAAACAACTTTTAAAATTAAAAACTGAAAAAAAAATTATAGAAAAATTTCACCTCCATAGTGAGTCAACAATCTTCCCTTTTATGATGTGCTGGTGCAGCAACATAGGTACATGATCTGGAGTAACATATCCATACCTACAAAGCTCAATATTGAATATAAAAACAATGTTATAAAGGTGTTTCTGGTTTTTAAAGAAGAAAAGGAAAGTTCTGTCACCAAAAGATATGTTAATAACCAGGGGAATCTCCTTCTTACAAGTGGCCAGTGACTTCTCCATTAAAGCTTGATCCAAATATAATGACATTTCCTGCATACTTATGCCCCCCAATGTGCGAGCACGGGCTAACAAACACTTTACCTTGAAGACCACGCAACTCTATCTCTTCCCTGAATCTACTGACCAAGAGAGGTCCATAAACCCCACACCTACGATCACGCGATCCATGTGAACACACAAAAACATATGAAGCTTTTAAGGATTCAGGGTTTCCAGGAAGCCATTCTCCATCCTTGACAAGAACTTCTTCAACAAATGTCTCAACATCAAAATGCGTTAATCTCCTGCAATTTCACTAAAATTGCTGTTGGTATGAATTAGGGGGAAACATCAGAGAAACTTTTATAGGGGAATCAAAAGTTGCAAAACAGAACTTGAACTAAGTACTAACCTGTATCTGATCATATCTGGAAAGATTAATATATCCCCATTTGATGTTTCAGTCCCATCATGCCCCTCACATATCGTTAAGCAGGTCTAGCAAAGTGATAAATCCAAGACAATTAGCCACAGTTCATATTCATCTTCAGTATATATGTTTTCATTAACAATTAAAATAATGTCACATTGTTTTTGTTCTGTTTCCTGTTTTTATAAGTTTGGGAAGGAAATAGTGAAAATCACATTTCCTTGTTTTCGCCATTTCCTTCACACAATGTTGAAAATAGGAATTGAAAACAGAATGAATATAAACTGGCATTTTTGTAATTATTAATGAAAAAACATATCAGCTAAAAAGGAAAGAATAATCAAACCAAACACCCTTTAAAGTAGTAACATGATTTAGTTAAAATAAGCTTAAAACAAAATTGGCTATAAACCAAAACACATTATAGTACCAAGCAGTTATATTTTGGTTTGGAGCAAGATTCCAACCCATTCCAATACCAGGGTTAGTTCATCATCACTACAACTTAAACCAAATAAACCTTACTTCCCACCATACATCATCCTCAAATAGACCCCAAGTCACAGCCAGAACCTATGTAATGAATAAAAATCACTGAAACCAGACAAAATTTTTACTGCATTAGTAGGCCATCCTCAATAACAAAATTCACATATCATGTAATTTGCATAAAATTAGGTAACTCAACTCCCTTAAAAAAAAAAAAAGTACAAAGAAATAAAATAAAATGAAAAAAGCACCTTAAATGAAATCAGCTCTACCTTATACCCTAAGAAAAAAAGAACCAACCATAAAACAATAAACCCATCTCAAGAACATCAATTCAAAAAAAAAAAAAAGAAAGAAAGAAAGAAAAAAGATCCCAACTTACTTAGCTGGGACATTTGGTTGCAAAGTTCTCAGTAAAGGGTTCAATGCCCACCCAAAAAAACGCACCAAATTCATGACACACTAGTGTAGTACTAGTGCATTACCTCCTTCTTCATATCAACCTTTCTGGCAACGATAGCGGCGCAGAGCAACCTCGGAAAGCGATCAGACTCCGCGGCTTCGATACGCGATGGCCACACCCTGGGGTTCTTATAGCATAGGAACACGTGGCGACGGTAGAACTCGCCGGTGCCGGAAAGATTTCGAAGCTTTTATATATTCATGTTTGGTAGAAAGGAAAGTTTTGGATTACTGGGAAACTGATACTGGTAATTTTATATATTCATGTTTGGTATAGGAAATTTGGAAAATTTTCTGGACAAATTAGGTACCCAGGGAAAAAAATTTGTGAAGAAAAATTCTATTCAAGAATGCCCACCAGGAAGGTGGTATTCCTGAATTCCTGTTCGATGGCAAAGTTTCCCAAATTGTTTGGGACAATAATACCCC